TTATTATTGAGATACAGTTTCGCTACTATTTAGAAATTTCTCGACATACTTTTTCATATTACTGTTATTTATTATTTTTCTTATTTGTCATTTATATGTTTAGGACTTACTGTGGGTGCTTTAAGATTCATTTTGTAAATATGTATATACATATAAAAAACAATTTGCGATATTTTATTTTAAATTATGAATTTTATTCGTGCAATTTTTTGTTTAATAGTTTTGAGAACATTTTTTGGTTCTGTTGATTCTTTTATTGCATGCCTTAAACTTTTTCACTTTAAGTTATAATGTTGAAGATATGCCTTCTGCATTTGTCCAGCACTTTAGCTAGGTGCGAGAAATTTAGCATATGCGCGTAAGAGCATAGAGTAGGCATACGGCTGTGCAGCCGCGATTCTCCAACATCTTGTCAAAAGAGAAAACATATTGGTGGCGGAATCCATCGTAGTCCAATTTTTCTTAAAATCTACGAAAAAGCGATCACTGAATCTGAACTGCTATGAACGTGTGTATTCAAAGCAAGCGCTGCGTTCGTAGCTATTCGAACTTAATAGCATTTTCGTAGATTTCACGAAAAATCGGACTGCGATGGATTCTATGATAGCCTTGATTAGTTCGTGCGATTATGACTTATGGATCAATTATGGATGGGAACGGAACCTTAGTTAGGTTGCCGATGGACAGCGCCACTGAAATGAAAATGTTTTTTATTATGAATAGCAATAATTAAGTTTCATAAAGTTCAAGGTGGTACAATTTAAAAAAAAGTTGAAAATAGAAATAAAGTATCTCAATCAAAAATTCCCGGCAGCCACAAAAACGCGCTTGCCAATATAGCAACTTAGTTGCCAGCTTTCAGTTACTAGTTTCCATCGGTAATACCATTTCAGCCACTGGCCAACCAACTGAAGTTCGGTTGTCCTCCGTAGTCGACCCCTTTAAATCGGAATCGAATATGCATGCACGCTCTGCTGAACGATAAATATTTTGTAAATGTGTGCTCTGTCCGCTAACGAATTCCAGCCATGTGTGAAATATCGTATGTGAAGCCTCCGTCTGACTTAACGATTGTCAAATGCATGCCCGAAGATGTTTCATCATATGTTTTCGGCCATCGTCTTCTTCGAGTATGTTCATCGATACCAAAACTTTACAACCTATATGTGCCAGCAGCCCTTAGTGTTTTTGCCAATGACATGGTACTATTGCACTGTTAATAACCAAATTAAGCCGCAGTTGCATTCACAAGTGATATAATAGCTAGTGTCGGCAAGGTGTGGGAATGCCCAGGTGATGGCGTTTGTTCAGCTATCGAAATCATTACACCGACGGCGATGGGCAGTTCTGCTGGAACATATTTACCACAGCAGTGGTTGCGGCGTTTTGTTCTGCAACAATAGCCTGCAATGATGACATGTCATATAATGTCGACGAACAAAGATGTAAAATTTAAAAAGCCTAACCTTATTCCCGGCCGATTTGGGAGACCACCCTTGGTCACGACCAGAACGCATTTACCAAGAGGAAAAACCGCAGGGATTGCAGTAGTTCTTGCAATCACCGTTGATGATGCTGTACTTGTAATTAATAGTCTGAAAATACAAAAAAATTGCATTAATGAAATTTTATACACAGCAAATAAATAAATTTCAATAATTTGTTTACCATTTCACGAATCGAATTACCAAGAAATAGAAACTCACCGCGATGCGATACAGAAATAAAAACCAACAGGGCTGCATTTTCTTGGTAAACAACACAAGCGCTCAGAGCAAACTGATCGGCAAAATTATTTTGTGAAAAATAATAGTTGAAAAGAGTTTCTACACATGATTATCACATTAAATAATAAGTTCAAATTATTGTGATTATTTTTAGTTGCATATAATTGTATTACCTTAAGACTTTTTATACCCGAGCGCACTTGTGCACAAGGGTATATTAATTTTGTTCACGTAACGGTTGTTTGTAACAGCCAAAAGGAATCGAGATAGATATAGACAAATGTATACATAAATGATCAGGATGAAAAAAGAAATCGATTAAGCCATGTCTGTCTGTCCGTCCGTCTGTCCGTCTGTCCGTCTGTCCGTGTACACGATAACTCGAGCAAAAATTGAGATATCTCAACGAAATTTGGTATGTAGGTTTCCCTTAATCCAAGGTAGGTTGGTATTGAAAATGGGCGAAATCGGACTTTAACCACGCCCACTTCCCATATAACGGTAATTTCCAGAAATACGAAAACTGCGATATTTTAGTAACTATTGAAGATAATTCACTCAAAATTGATATTTACAATAATTTTTAGACGAGAAATAAGAATATTATAAATTTTTGGAAAATAGGCGTAGCCACGCCCACTTATGGTTACATGTGTATATCTTGGTAACCGCTGCACCAATTTCTTCCAAACTTGGCACAGTTGTTGGCCTTCGCATAACATACCAAATGGCCGAAAATTTTTAAAATCGCTCAATAACCACGCCTACTTCCCATATAACGGTAATTTTCAGAAATACGCAAACTGCAATATTTTAGTAACTACTGGAGATTATTCACTCAAAATTGATATTTATAATAAGTTTTAGACGAAAAATAAGAATATTATAAATTTTTGGAAAATGGGCGTAGCCACGCCCACTTATGGTTACATGTGTATATCTTGGTAACCGCTACACCAATTTCTTCCAAACTTGGCACAGTTGATGGCCTTGGTACAGCATAAAAAACCGCCGAAACTTTTTAAAATCGGACAATAACCACGCCCACATCCCATATAACGGTAATTTAGAGAAATACAAAATCTTCGATAAATCATTAAATATTGAAGCTAATTTTTTCAAAATTGATGCTTGCAACAATTCTTTACCAAGAAATACGTTTATGGTAAAATTTTGGAAAATGGGAGTGGCACCGCCCACTTATGATCACATATAAGTATACCGGTAACCGTTCTACCAATTTGTACCAAACTCGGTATGGTTATTGTACTTGCCACGTGTTAGCAAAACGTTGAAAATTATTGAAATCGGACTACTATAACGGCCGATTCTCATATAACGGTAAATTTAAGAAATGCTTGAAACTTCAATATTTCGAAATTGAAGGACGCTAATTTACTTAAAATTGTTACAACTCGGCTTACCATCTAGCGGAAGGTTTCGGAAGGGTGAAAAAACATATATTTAATACTTGCGCCGGGTATTTAATGTTCGGCTCCGCCCGAACTTAGCCTTTCTTACTTGTTTTTAAATGTTTTCTAATATTCATTCTTTTGGGATGCAAAAGCAACCATGCGCTCAATTTCTTGTGGGGAAATTTGGTCCCCATAAAGGACTTTCACCACGAAACAGCTACAAAAACAAAAACCTTTTCTACTGGTATACTGTATTGTCAACTTCTTTTTAGTAACAAAATAATCTATCTTAGGTTGATAAAACTATGTGTTTTTTTAATAACTAAGTTAAATTATATATATATTTTAGTAGGGCTGCAATTTAGTTTGGCATCCCCGGAGTTCCGCAGTAAGGTAGCTATGGAACGGTAGAGGGAGTTGTCCTGATTGCAAATATATATACTTTTAGCCGCAGCAGGCTTATAGTTTTTAAGTTATTTGTTGTTAAAGTTTGTAAATTGAACTAAGCTCTCGGCGGTATTTCTCACAATAAACACTATTTATTTATTTATTTATTTATTTGTTACAGTCTTACGACCTAATAATACAACTATGATATTCGTACATATGTATATGAATTTTAATGTTCTTATTGCGAATTATGTATACAATAACTATATATATTATATTACGTATGTCTATATTAGGCCGCATGTATAAAAATATGCAATTGCCCCTTCCAAAAAGTTCCGACCTTCCACTTCAATTTATTTGAATAATCGAGTACAAGGTCGGAAATTCCCAGAAAACACAATTGCAGTTCCCAATCATACGGCAGAGCAGGAAATTAGGCAAGTGGTCTGAAGAAACAAGTTCCAGGCCATATTGTTAGGGCAGTTGGAAAGGACTAGTTTCCAATCTGCACCTTCCCTTCTCATATCATTGCCACAATTGTTATTGTTATTGTTCTCATATTATTGCTTCAGTTATTAGGGCAGTTGGAAAGGACTAGTTTCCAATCTGCACCTTAACTTCTCACATTGTTTCTTCAGTTGTTAGGGCAGTTGAAAAGCACTAGTTTCCAATCTGCACCTCTCTTCTCGTATTGCTGCTTCAGTTGTTAGGGCAGTTGGAAAGCACTAGTTTCCAATCTGCACCTTTACTTCTCATATTGTAGCTTCAGTTATTTAGGCAGTTGGAAAGGACTAGTTTCCAATGTGCACCCTCACTTCTCATATTGTTGGTTCGGTTCGATGAGGATTTCCGATGTTATACACGATGTCTGAATGAACTAGATCCAGAGCAGCACTGTTTGATAGGGTAGGAGGACGGTGCTTCGGGGATTGGTGTTTCGACTCTGTCAAGATTTGCAGATTCAGCAAGCTGTCTGCGTGGATTGGATCCAGAGCAACCCGGCCGGATGGAAAGCATTTGTTTCCATGCCGAGCTTCTATCTGATATGTAGTGTTCGACAGTGATCAAGTAATGATCTCTGGAAGCTGGCAATGCTTTCACAATTTCTTGTTTGTGGCGGTAGTTCGTTAAAACACTTTAATCCTTTGTAGAATATGTTCATTTTATCCACTTCTGTCCTATATAAC